ACGTAAGGAACAATAGAACGAGAGGACATATTTGGAAAGTGGAAACACAGATGAGTCACAGAGATGTCAGAAAGAACTTTTTCAGTCGGAGTCGTAAATAAGTGAAACGGTCTGGATGAGGAAGTTGTCGAAACGAATGCGATAGACAACTTTAAATGTAAATATGCAACCCGTTCTCGCACTTGCTTATAGTCAATATTTGGCTTATGAATAAGTGCATATGCGACATACTAATTTTTTGTGAATATTTGAGTATACCTGAAAAGCTGAATAGAAAACCACAACCTAACCTAACCTTCTTAGTATGTTAGGATAAGTATTTTATGGCTTCTTAATTACCTATATTGATATTACAGTTTTATAAAAATAATAAAACCAAACTAAAATATCTAAATAAATTGTAAAGTAACTCAGGATATTGTCAATTTTTTTTATAAAATCTCTATTGTTTAATAAAACTTAAATAGAAGGGTTAGTGCCTTGAAAAAAATAGAACTTGGAATATATCATATGTGTGCTTATTCATAAGCCAAATGTTGACTATAAGCAATAAGTCATATATGGGCTGTCTTGTGCGAGAGCGGGATGCATAAAATATTATATGAAAAACAAGTGAAAAAGAATCACTGCCATGAACTAAAGATGGTCCAAAGGCGGGGCTTAGGAGCAGGCGCTCGACCCTACAAGCACAAGTAGGTGAGCACACACACACACACACACACACACACACACACACACACACACACACACACACACACACACACACAGGAATTTTCAACATGAATAATAACAGGATAATTTACCGGAAGTGTTTTGATGTGGCGGGTGAGTGGTGGGAACTGTGAAGACTATTGTGGGTGACGGTGGTGGTCAGACACTGGTGGAGGGAGGGGGACCACTTTGGTCACGTCACTGAGCCTGGTGGAGTTAGAGGGACCACTTTGGTCACGTCACTGAGCCTGGTGGAGTTAGAGGGACCACTTTGGTCACGTCACTGAGCCTGGTGGAGTTAGAGGGACCACTTTGGTCACGTCACTGAGCCTGGTGGAGTTAGAGGGACCACTTTGGTCACGTCCCTGGTCCCTGGTTGATCGTCACAGAGCCTCATTACATGTAGGTCATTGATGGTAACCTACCGTAGGGTCCTAGCATTGTAAGTCATCGTATCACACTACCACAGTAAGTCACTGAATGATGAGCTTCTGGCCAACAGGTTAGCAAGGATTTTTACTAATACAACGAAGTCCTTAATTTTATTTGATAACAAACGCCATGGGGTGTGGGTTGGGCAGACCATAAGGCACATGGATTCAATATATATATTTCAGCTTCATAACGTTGTATTTGTTCAACAAATAATAATACATTCCAATTAATGTTATGATCAGTTTCTAATATCGTATTTAAGCTTGTATGATATGTTTGAGGCGTTGTTATAACATTGTATGAAACACAATGGGAGAAGGGATGTAACATTGGGAAATACATGTATGATGTATTACTCGTCTTTATTGTTTTAATTGTTCAATATTTGCGTTCTCTATATGTATTCTATACATATATTCTATATATGTATAGAATACATATATGTAATATGTATTCTATACATATATTCTATATATGTATAGAATACATATATATATTCTATATATAACTGAAAACTCACATCCCAGAAGTGACTGGAACCCATACTCCCAGGAGCAAAATGCAACTGTTGTGTACAGGACACCTTAATCCACTCGACCATCACAACCGGTCAAAAGCTGGTGGTAGTCGATGGTCGTGATGGTCGAATGGATTAAGGTGTCCTGTACACACCAGTTGCATTGCGATCCTGGCAGTATGGGTTCGAGTCATTTCTGGGGTGTGAGTTTTCAGTTGCATATAGTCCTGGGGACCATTCTGGCTTGTTCGCATATTCTACATATGTATACCAGATACCCATCCTGAGGGAAAAGATGACAGGATCGAGAACAGGTCTCGCCGAACACAAGAGTGGTTTTAACAAAGACAAGAGTGACTCTTAACATGGGCAAGATTGACTCTTAACTAACGAGTGCAAGGCTTTTGTCTGTTAGTGTTAGTTCATGTTCTTCTTACAAGCTAAGGGTGACGATAGGCATCAATTCCTTCAAGTTGCTTGTGCTAATATCAGGATGGTTAAGTTGTGCTAATACCGGGATGGTATGGTTAGGTTAGGTTGAGCTAATACCACGAAGGTTAGGTTAGGTTGTTAATACCAAGAAGGTTAGGTTAGGCTGAGATAATACCAGGAAGGTTAGGTTAGGTTGTGTTAATACCAAGAAGGTTAGGTTAGGCTGAGATAATACCAGGAAGGTTAGGTTAGGTTGTGTTAATACCAAGAAGGTTAGGTTAGGCTGAGATAATACCAGGAAGGTTAGGTTAGGTTGTGTTAATACCAAGAAGGTTAGGTTAGGCTGAGATAATACCAGGAAGGTTAGGTTAGGTTGAGCTAATACCAGGAAGGTTAGGTTAGGTTGTGTTAATACCAAGAAGGTACGAAGCACATAAATTTAACTACAAGAACAATTAACTCCAACACATGAGCGGAAAGTGACGACGTTTCGGTCTGTCGTGTTGATGACGTAACACGATATAATAAGGATCCACGACGGGCCGAAACGACGCCCCTTCTACGTCACTTGTTGGCTGAGTTATCGGGTTTCATCCACATTATAGTGACATTGTATTTGCAAGAATATTCGTGCAGCTTAGACAACAATGAAGTCATTATTCAGAATATAGTTTAAGGCACCTCGGGAGGTAATAAATCATAAATGACAACATTCATCTTGTATGTTTATGATGATTACTGAGATGGCCATAAAAGTGCTTTCATAAATTTGGAAGATAAGGCAAGAGTATATATATTTAGAAATGACTACTGGTGGTCCTTCATGCCTCGGGGGAAGGGGGAGGTGAGAGAAGACCAGGGGGGGAGGGTAGATTAATGAGGGAAGGAGGGAAGGGGGAAATGCCAAAAAAGGGTAAAGGAAAGGGGGAAGAGAGATAAGGATATTGAATTGCTGAGAATCAGAGTAGAAAGAAGTCATTCATCCCCTTGCCACCCCTCTCTCTCTTCCGTCCCTCCTTCTCCATTCCCACAGCCCCGCCCCCTCCCTCCGTAACTGTATCCCCTAGTTTCCTCGCCAGGGGCGAAGTGTAGCGCTACACACCCCCTGGTGGGAGGGAGGGCGGGTGACCGCAGATACGACAGCGGTGTTCACACTCCCGCCAGACATCCGCGGTACATGTGCTCGACAATACCCGCCCCTGCAGCTGGGCCGCAAATATTCTAGCTTCGTGGTGTCTTAACAAATGCGGTTTGTCCTCTATTTCTCTCTTTCCCCTCCTCCCTCCATGGCTTGCACTTCCTTAGCACAAACAGGCAGGCATACATACACACACAAATATACACACCCTGGCACATATATACACACCTTGGCACATATACACACCCTGGCACATATATACACACCTTGGCACATATACACACCGTGGCACATATATACACACCTTGGCACATATATACACACACAAATATACAAACCTTGCACACACACATACAAAGGCCTCGCGGCTGAGTACACAGCGCTTTGGGGTTGTAGTCGTAAGGACCCGGGTTCGATTCCCGACAGAGGCAGAAACAACTGGGCAGAGTTTCTTTCACCCTGGTGCCCCTGTTCACCTAGCAGTAAATAGGTACCTGGGAGTTAGATAGCTGCTACGGGTTACTTCCTGAGGATTATGTGTGTGTGTGTTAAGAGAGAAATATATGTAGTAGACTTAATAGAAGAATAATAGATTGGTTAGAAAGGCGGGGTCCAAGAGCTAATAGCTCGATTCTGCAGGCACAAATAGTAAATACACACACACACACACACTCCGTGTCTACACACAAAGGAGACATGATCCAGCCGTACACAATATTCAGGGGTATTGATCAAATAAATAATGAAACGTTAGACAAACAACGTAACAAGAGGACATGTGGGGAAGCTGGGCACACGAATGACCCACTTGAATGTGAGGGGGAAAAACTTATTCAGTATATCGGCAGTTAAATGTCATATGAAGTGGAATCGAAGAGCTTAAGCTGATCTCACACAAGCACATGTAATCCACTCGCGTACACTCGAAACAAGTATGTGAGGTCGTTGAGAAACTAATCAGGAGTAGGTTAGTGGAAGACCTGGAAGGTTTTCTACTCACTAGGAAGGAAGAAGTAGAAGACTTTTGTGACCACTGTGTAGTGGTTCTAGAGATCACGGCCCTCGTGGGGACGTGAATTGACACATTCCGTAGAAAATATGGGTTCAGGAAGGGTAAGTCTCGTCTGATGAACCAGCTACAGTTTTATGACGCAGCTGCTGGGGGAAGGATGGCTTGACTATACCTTCCTGTACTGCCAGAGAGCCTCCAGTGCCATGCCTGGGTTTCACTATTACTTAATTAAGAAGGAAATGTAACAGGAAGCGTGTTGAACTTGGTGGGAGACACTAATAAACATAGAGAAGGAATATAATATCTACATCTTTTGATATAGTCACCCCGGCCTCCTGACAGAGTTACCCCGGCCTCCTGACAGTCACCCCGGCCTCCTGACAGTCACCCCGGCCTCCTGACAGTCACCCCGGCCTCCTGACAGAGTTACCCCGGCCTCCTGACAGTCACCCCGGCCTCCTGACAGTCACCCCGGCCTCCTGACAGTCACCCCGGCCTCCTGACAGTCACCCCGGCCTCCTGACAGTCACCCCGGCCTCCTGACAGTCACCCCGGCCTCCTGACAGTCACCCCGGCCTCCTGACAGTCACCCCGGCCTCCTGACAGTCACCCCGGCCTCCTGACAGTCACCCCGGCCTCCTGACAGTCACCCCGGCCTCCTGACAGAGTTACCCCATGACCAGGAACGACATAAGAGGCTTCGTAAAGGGGACAATTCACCTGTCAGTGAAAGCAGGGTAACATGGGGTGGTGCTATGGTAACACTTAAAAAAGATGCCACACTCACGGCGCTACACTCACGGCGCTACACTCACGGCGCCACACTCACGGCGCCACACTCACGGCGCCACACTCACAGCGCCACACTCACGGCGCTACACTCACGGCGCCACACTCACGGCGCCACACTCACGGCGCCACACTCACGGCGCCACACTCACGGCGCTACACTCACGGCGCTACACTCACGGCGCCACACTCACAGCGCTACACTCACGGCGCTACACTCACGGCGCTACACTCACGGCGCCACACTCACGGCGCCACACTCACGGCGCTACACTCACGGCGCTACACTCACGGCGCCACACTCACGGCGCTACACTCACGGCGCTACACTCACGGCGCTACACTCACGGCGCCACACTCACGGCGCTACACTCACGGCGCTACACTCACGGCGCTACACTCACGGCGCCACACTCACGGCGCTACACTCACGGCGCTACACTCACGGCGCCACACTCACGGCGCTACACTCACGGCGCTACACTCACGGCGCCACACTCACGGCGCCACACTCACGGCGCTACACTCACGGCGCCACACTCACGGCGCTACACTCACGGCGCCACACTCACAGCGCTACACTCACGGCGCTACACTCACGGCGCCACACTCACAGCGCTACACTCACGGCGCTACACTCACGGCGCTACACTCACGGCGCTACACTCACGGCGCCACACTCACGGCGCTACACTCACGGCGCCACACTCACGGCGCTACACTCACGGCGCCACACTCACAGCGCTACACTCACGGCGCTACACTCACGGCGCCACACTCACGGCGCTACACTCACGGCGCTACACTCACGGCGCTACACTCACGGCGCCACACTCACGGCGCTACACTCACGGCGCTACACTCACGGCGCTACACTCACGGCGCTACACTCACGGCGCTACACTCACGGCGCCACACTCACGGCGCTACACTCACGGCGCTACACTCACGGCGCCACACTCACGGCGCTACACTCACGGCGCTACACTCACGGCGCTACACTCACGGCGCCACACTCACGGCGCTACACTCACGGCGCTACACTCACGGCGCTACACTCAGAACTTTATAATGGGGACGCTACACTCAGAACTTTATAATGGGGACGCTACACACTACTACACTGGGGCCGCTACACTGGGGACGACACACAAGCTTCCAGAGCCAACACCAGTCCTTAGGAATGACAGACACATTGACTTCAAAGATATTCATGTTGCCATACGACACAGTTTTCTTATTTTGGTGCTACATTCATCAGGTTGTGTTACCTGGAGGCGACAGGAGGCGCTAAAAGGCTGTGTAAATAACACAGAGAATTCTTCCTTGGCAGAGTGACACAGAGACGAGAACTTCCATTCGTGACGCGGGCGGTGTAGAGGAAGTGCCTTGAATAGTGGAAGGGGGTAGTGGAAGGGAGGGAAGTAGAGAGGGGGGAAGGGGGGTGTAAGAGAGAGACCGAGGGGAAAGAGGAATAGGTTGTGAAGGTTGCATACCGCTCACTCCAGTATTTTCCATAGGTTGTCTTGAGATTATCTTGAGATGATTTCGGGGCTTTAGTGTCCCCGCGGCCCGGTTCTCGACCAGGCCTCCTCCCCCAGGAAGCAGCCCGTGACAGCTGACTAACACCTAGGTACCTATTTCACTGCTAGGTAACAGCTCCGTGTGTATTATTTGATAACTCTCTCGTCTTCTTTCTAGTGAGTACATTTGGAGAGCTTTGAGATGGTCCCAATAATTTAGGTGTTTTATCGTGTCTATGCATGCCGTATATGTTCTCTGTATCCCCTCTATTTCAGCAATCTCTCCTACTCTGAAGGGGGAAGTGAGCACTGAGCAGTACTGAAGACGGGACAACACAAGTGATTTAAACAGTACAACCATTGTGATGGGATTCCTGGATTTGAAGGTTCTCGTAATCCATCTTATCATTTTGCTCGCTGGCGCAATATTTGCTTTGTTTTGCTTCCTAAGCATTAGGTCGTCAGATATCATTATTCCCAGATCCTTTACATACTACTTTCCTACTATGGGCAGATCTAATTGTGTTTTGTACCCTGTATTTTGTTTGAGGTCATAATTTTTACCGTTCTTGAGTATCTGGAATTTATCATATGCAATTACACATATATTACACATATGCTGGGTACATTACACTCATTTATATATGCCCTTATAAGTGACAGCGAGTGCTAAAAATCAGTCACTTAATGATAGGGGACATTTCACTCAAGGATGGCACTAAGTCAACAGTCTCAGCACACGTAGTGCAAATTTATACACGAAATTGCAGCAGGCAGGAAGTTCTGAACTTATATTAAGTATCCTGGACTAGGGAGAGGATTTCCTTGGCCATCAGAGTGACGTGATCGAGTAAAACAGTGAGCGAGAGTACAGGTAAGAGGAAAGACAGGTGTGGGGCCACAGGGTCGGGGGCTGGGTACAGGTAAGAGGGAAGACAGGTGTGGGGGGCCACAGGGTCGGGGGCTGGGGTACAGGTAAGAGGAAAGACAGGTGTGGGGCCACAGGGTCGGGGGCTGGGTACAGGTAAGAGGGAAGACAGGTGTGGGGCCACAGGGTCGGGGGCTGGGTACAGGTAAGAGGGAAGACAGGTGTGGGGGGCAACAGGGTCGGGGGCTGGGTACAGGTAAGAGGGAAGACAGGTGTGTGGGGCCACAGTGTCGGGGTCTGGGTACAGGTAAGAGGGAAGACAGGTGTGTGGGGCCACAGGGTCGGGGTCTGGGTACAGGTAAGAGGGAAGACAGGTGTGGGGGGCCACAGGGTCGGGGGCTGGGTACAGGTAAGAGGGAAGACAGGTGTGGGACAACAGGGTTGGGGGCTGGGTAAAGGTGTGGATGCTGGCGTCTGCCCCTGGTCCTCTCTCCTCCCTCGCTCACCACAACTCTGCTGGAAACTGAAAGTATCGCGTGAAAAAAGTGGAGGAGTGAGACGGTGAATCACTTGTAGCGTTGCTTACAATCATGTTGATCAGGGGGAAGAGGAAGACTGTAGTTCGCTGCGCGTGTTTACCTTGCTTAATGACACCTGTGACGGGGTAATGACCCGAAACCCAGACCCGCCCCTCCTCACTCCTGCATTTTGCCCAGTGATGTAATGACCTCCCTGTATCCCCGCCGCTCCCCACCCTACCTACCCTGACCCTAGTGGCTTCTCACCCCCCCACCCCACCCCACACCCCTACCTCGCCCCCCTCCCACGGCTTCCGGTGGGCGGGCGATCGCTCGCGCGCCCGCACTAATAATGGGGTCATGAAATGCATTTCCCCCTCCGACTCCCGCCGTCTGCTGGCAGTTAGTGGGTCCGTCATGCAGGGGGAAAGGGCGCCCCCAACACTTCCTTGTCGCCCCCCTCCTCCTCCTTCCCCCCTACCCTCCCCTTGTGTAAGTCAAGGTACGTTTCATTCCACAATCGCTTGCTGCTTCTCCCTCTGACACTATATACAAAATAAATATTGACCCACATACTTGGGGATAATTTACATTTGTTGCTGTCTGTGTGTGTGTGTGTGTGTGTGTGTGTGTGTGTGTGTGTGTGTGTGTGTGTGTGTGTGTGTGTATTCACCTAGTTGTGCTTGCGGGAGGTTGAGCTCTGCTCTTTCGGCCCGCTTCTCAACTGTCAATCAATCAACTGTTACTAACTATTCCCCCCCCCCCACACACACACACCCAGGACGCAGCTTCGTAACAGCTGTCTAACTCCCAGGTACCTATTTACTGCTAGGTACCAGGGGCATCAGGGTGAAAAGAAACTTTGTCCATATGTTTCTGCCTGGTCCGGGAATCGAACCCGGGCCACAGAATTACAAGTACTGCGCGCTGTCTGCTCAGCTACCAGTCCCCTACGGGATCTGGTAGTTGCCACCTGTGTGTAGTTGATTGATTGACAGTTGAGAGGCTGGACCAAAGAGCCAAAGCTCAACCCCCGCAAGCACAATTAGGCGAGTACACACACACACACACACACACACACACACACACACACACACACACACACACACACACACACACACACACACACACAGGGTGTAGCCCGCAGAAGCTGTCTAATTCCCAGACACCTATTTACTGCTTGTTAAACAGGAGAATCAGGTGAAAGAAAGTCTACCCCCTTTGTTTCTGTCTTGCCTCTTGCCTGGGAATCAGACCCGGAACCAAAGACAGCGACTGTCTCTGTCTTTTCTGGACACCTGTCATATTGTGGTCTATATCAGTCAGAGGTCAAGGTTGTTGTGTTCCGCTTGTTAGGTCCCAGTAGTTGAAGCAGTTCACCTTTGATCACCGTACGACAAAATGCGCAGGTTTACCCCTGAAACTGGAAACCTCTCCAGGAGGCCTGGTCGACGACCGGGCCGCGGGGACGCTAAGCCCCGGAAGCACCACCTCAAGCACCTCAAGGTAACCTCAAATATAAAGAGAGAGAGATTAGGAAAGCTTTTACGGGCTATTCATGCCCGTGCCACTTCTTGAGTGGCTTAATCTTGATCAATCAATCATTAGGAAAGCTTAATTCACTAGAGAGGCAAAAGATTAAAGCGTGACACGATTGTAGTTTACAAATGGATGAAAGACCTTGAACCCATGTATACAAATTGGATAAGTTTAGACTAAAAAAAGACCTGGGTAAATACTGGTTTGGAAATAGGGTTGTTGATTTATGTAACAAATTACCGGGTAACATAATAGACGTGGGACCACTGGATTGTTTCAAGCGAAGGTTAGACATATACATCAAGAAATTGGGCTGGGTATAAATGGGTGCTGCCTCGTATGGGCTAACTGGCTTCCTGCTGTTTCTGTGTGTATTGACATCTAACTAAATTTCAGCATGACGCAGCATAGGTCTCAGAGAAACGAAGAACCTGCCTTCAATTTGGCCTTAGGAAAATACAGCCTAATCACCGTGTGGCAGTTTGGTTCAGCCGGGGTCGTTAGCGTTAGTTAATTCAAACTTATTAAGGCCAATGGCATTAATCCTGCCAGACAGAACTGCGAGGGAGGTTGTTCCCATGTCCTCCCCTCTCCTTCCCACTCCCTCCCCCTACCCTCTGAGGCAGTCTCCCCTCCCTCTTCCCACTGACGTCACAGACAAGGCAAAGCAAACATGACATCACCACTTTGTCGTCCACAGCTGATTTCTGGCAATGGGTTACATGAGCACCTCCGTTGTCTTCCACACCTCTCTTGTCTTCCCACTCTCCTCAACCCCTCCCTTGAAGACTGGCGGAGGAAGACTCCATACACAGCTTCAAATGTTGCTATGACAGGAGCCTAATAGGCTCCGCAACCTGTCTGTACGCTAGTCGATTAAGAGAGGCGGGACCCAAGAGCCGTGGCTCATCCCCCGCAAATTCTTTGTACTGTATACATTACCTCAGTACAAAGAAAACAGTGACGCAAGTTCTATCTTGGTGTTTAATACTTGACGTTTTTATTCGTGAAATCGTGAAGACTGCATTGTACCTGTGTTCGTGTGAGGCGCTTCGTGCGGGCACCACTACTTTAAGACCAGAATATTTGAAGTCAGTATACGAGTTATTTTAAGACCACAAACGAGCCATTTTATGACCTCAAATTAGTCATTTTAAGGCCACAAATTAGTAATTTTAAGACCACAAATTAGTCATTTAAGACCTCAAGCTAGTCATTTAAGACCATAAACGAGTCATTTTAAGACCATAGTGTATATTGTATGGAGAAACTCGTAGCGTGAGTCTACGAGTGCGTGAGCCAGCACTCACGCTACGCTACGCTACTCGTAGCGTAGCGTGAGTGCTGGCATCTTATTGCAGCGCGTTTTCGTTCCGATCAGTCTTACGGATGTCGTTCTTAAGAGTATAAAACATTAATAATTTCCAGAGCTTAATTGCATCACCAACCGAGTGTGTTATGATGAAAGATGTCCCTATCCCTGCGGCGGTTCAAGTGGGCGGATTAGTCACCGAGGCGTTCTTGCCTTCACGAACGGAGCGGTGACGTCACAGCCGCCGGTGTCAACAAAAAACTCCCGCCACTTGACAGATCGCTTACAGGACCATTATCACCCTCTAGGGAGGTTAATCTGGTTTTACGACCTGCAGTTT